CTCCAGTTTCCATTCAGCTCCCTGTTTGTGACATGAGGACAGCCCAACACCTTGGGACCCTGCACCCTCATGGGAGACCCAGAAGCTCCTGGCTCTGTTGCAGCCACTTGGGGGAATGAATCAGTGGATGGAAGATCATTCTGTCTCTCTTTCTCTCTGAAAATCTGCCTTTTCAATAAACAAATAAATAAATCTTAACAAAGAACAAAAAAGATCCACATCCACTTATTTTTATTGGAAAGGCAGATTCGCAGAGAGGAGAGACGAAAGATCTTTCATCTACTGGTTCATTCTCTTAATGGCTGCAATGTCCAGAACCGAGCCCTTCCAGAGCCAGGAGCTTCTTCTGGGTGTACCTTGTGGATGCCACCCTCCCCTCCCTCTCAGGACACGAGCAGGGAGCTGGCTCAGGAGTGGAACAGCCAGGACAAGAACGAGTGCCTGTATGGGATGCCGGCACTTGCATGTGGAGGATTGGCCAATTAAGCCAATTGCGGGCCCCTCTCAACTGAATTCTAAGGAGGATTGCATTGAGGCGCCGCAGTGAGCTGTGGAACATGTAGGTGGCACGCAGGGGAGGTCTGGTGATCCACACTGCCCTAGCAGCTCTCAGCAGCTCAGGCTTGGAAGCCAACGGGAATGGGGCCGGGGTTGGAGGAGAGCAGAGACAGGCAAGCAGAGGGCGAAGGGCACAGACTTTGGACTCTTCCAGATGGGTACGCTGCGCTCGTCGGGGTGCTAAGAAAGACACTTTAAAATCTCAGTCACTTATAGGGCTCATTTGGCGGCTTCTCAGCAGCAACACAAAGCCAGCGTTCGCTTCTGCCTCATGCAGAGGATTCGATAGACAGATGTTAATCAATTTAATTCCAAGAGGATAAAATGCACTGAAGACTATCAGAGGCAACGCAGGAGTGAAGGGAACACACAGGCCCGTGACTCACTCCTCTGTGGGCTCTGCCAGAGTCGGCCTCGGCCTCGCGGCAGGCTCTTCGACACCCCCAACAGCAGCATTCCTTTCCTTGTATCTCACCACTCAGACTGGACCAGGCTAAGCCCCTGACACCAACCCAGCCATGGTTTTAATCCTGTTGTGCTGAGGGGCATGGTGAGGGCCAAGGAAGTCTCCACGCAGTAGCCATCCGTCAGCCTCTAGGAACCACTTTCTTTCCACCCTGCCCCACTGCCCGGGTCCCTCTAGGCACTCAGGGGCTCACACCTAAGTGGGAACAGAGCAGGGAGGCAAGACGGGAGCTTCCTCATCTCTGCTGCCTTGGCTCCCATCCCAGACTCCAGCCAGGTTAGCACAGTGGCGCTTCACTCGGCCGGGGCCCTGGGAAGCCGACCAGAGTCAAAGGGCTCCCTGGCAGGCGTGTGCAGGCAGCCGTCCAGCTGCCTCGTGCTAACACAGCAGCAGGCACAGGAAAGGGTCCAGGGAGAGTGGAAAAGCACCAGCGGGGAGCCCCTGGAGGGAGGGAAGGAACCCGTGCCTGGCTCAGACAGCACCGCCCAGCCCCGGAGCAGCCACCGTCATGGGCCTGAGGACACCCAAAGGGCCCCCAGCACAGCCACTCACAAGGCTGTCAGAGAACTGGGACCCATCAAAAAGGGAGTCACAGAGGCCAGCAAGGGGGAGCAGCAGGTAAAGCGGCTGCCCACAGTGCCGGTATGTCATATGGATGCCAGTTCATCCCAGCTGCTCCGCTTCCAGTCCAATTCTCTGCTGATGTGCCTGGGAAAGCCATGGAGGATGACCCAAGGACGTGGGCCCCTGCACTTACACAGAGGACCTTGGTCCTGGGTCCAGGATTCAGATCAGCTCGGCTCTGGCCATTGCGGCCATTTGGGGATTCAATCAGCAGGTGGAAGACCTTTCTCTCCATCTCTCTAACTCTGTTTTTACACACACACACACACACACACACACATATATATATACATAATTTTTTTTTCCTTAACGGGGAGAAGGGAGTCACAAACCTCCAAGATGAGTCAGCACACATGGAAGAAAACCAGGCTGTGCCCTGGTCCTTCCCAGCAGCCCTGGCCTGACCACATCCCTGTAAACACTGCCACCGATGGCACCTGAGCCGAGGCGACACAGCACGCCGTCTTACAAGCCACCACCCCCGCAGCAGATTCCAGCTGGTCCACGGGAAAGACTCAGCCGGGAGTATTAATAGACCTGCAGGAACTCAGCAAGGGCATGCCTGGGAAGTTGATCTAAAAGGGGGCCCAGTAAGGGCGAGACAGGCGACATGGCTCTCCAGAGGGCCTCCTCCGCAGACACAGGGAGGGGCACCCTGGCAGGGACACTGAAGGCCTAAAATGGACTGCAGGGAAGTGCTCTGGTCCTGTTCTTTTCCCTTTTCTTTTTTTAAATTAACGATTTATTTAGTCTTCATTGGAAAGGCAGATTTACAGAGAGAAGGAGACAGAAAGAGGTTCCACCTGCTGGTTCATTTCCCAAGTGGCCACAAAGGCCGGAGCTGAGCTGATCCAAAGCCAGGAGCCAGGAGCCTCCTCTAGGTCTCCCATGAGGGTGCAGGGTCCTAAGGCTTTAGGCCCATCCTCAATCTACTACTTTCCCAGGCCACAAACAGGGAGCTGGATGGGAAATACAACAGCCAGGACACAAAATGGTGCCCATCTGGGATCTCAGGGCATGCAAGGTGAGGATGTGGCCACTGAGCCACCACACCAGGCGCCCCAGTGCTGTTTCTGCAGGCTTCCCACCTGCCAACGCTCATTTGGGGTCAGGTCACTTGGGGTCAACGTAAGAAGGGAAATGCAGGATGCCCGTGAGGAAGAGCTCATCTTTGTCCCGTGTTGCTAGGTCACTACAAAAATCTGCCCTTAGGGGAGGGTGTTTCAGAAGCTGCAAACTGGCGGTCACTGGGTCAATTGAATTGACAACACCTAAAAACCTGATGGCTTAAACAGGAAAAAAATCACTGAATTTCCAGCACTTCTCAGGGAAAAAGTAGAGAGCCTCATTCCAGCAGTACAAGCAGCACGAGCTGGAAGCTGAATCTGCACTGCCTCCTCTCCACAGGCCCGGGGTTTCTCCTGCCCAGCTGGTCCGGCCATCAGGGCTCACTTCTCCAGGTCCTTCTAGGGAAGTCACGCCCAGGCTTGGTAATGCACAAGGAGGCCACAGGGTGGCAGCACTGGACCATCAATAGGACAGGCACAGACTACCAGGTGAGCTTCCAGGACTAAAGAAACCTCTTTCTCCACTCGCCCCAGGGCATCCATCTCCACATTTCCACATTCTCCCTGGACCTCACTCAAAGAAAGGCATCCACTTGCTGGCCTTCGCTCTCCTTGCATTCCTGCTCCGCAGCCGCTCCACAGCTGGCCTGCCCGGGGAGGCAGTGGCCATTCTGCAGCTGGCTTGTTGCTTGTACTGCTCAAATCAGGTTTCCATGCCTTCCCTAAAAGAGCCCAGAGAAAGTGTGGCGCTTTTTTTTTTTTTTTGGCAGGGGGAGGGAGTGAGGAGGATCACTTGATTTTTTTTTAAGAATTATTTTTATTGGAAAGGCAGATTCACCCAGAAGAGAGAGATCTTCTATCTACTGCCACAATTTCCCAAGTGGTCACAAATGCCAGAGCTGAGCTAATCCAAAGCCAGGAGCCAGGAGCTTCCTCTGGGTCTCCCACACAGGTGCAGGGCCCCAAGCACCTGAGCCATCCTCTGCTGCTGCTCTCCCAGGCCATACGCAGGGAGCTTTACCAGAAGTGGAGCAGCCGGGACACTAATTAGTGCCCATATGGGATGCTGGCTCTGCAGGCAGAGGCTCACCATGCTATACCAGGGCGCCAGCCCCAGGAACCATCTGATGTTTAAATGTTGACCATTTTAAAAAGATGGCAACATATTTGTGGGGTCACGTGGACCTAGTGACTCCCATGATTACTTTGGATGAAGGACTTCCCACTGTCCCCCTCCTAATGACGAGAGGTTTTTGTAGTGATTTCCACAAGGCCAAAGTTGTGGCACAGCAGGTTCTGCAACGCTGACGTCCAATCTGAGCGTCTGTTAGAGTCCCAGCTGCTCCACTCCCTATTCCTGCTGATGCACCCTGGCAATGGAAGACAGCCTCGCATTTGGGGACCTGCCACCCACACAGGAGACCTGGACAGAGTTCAAGGCGACTGACTTCGGCCTGGCCCAGCCCCTGGTGCTGTGGCCAGGTAGGGAGTAAACCAGCAGATGGAGATCTGTGTCTCTCCTTCTGTGACTCTGGGTTTCCAATAAGTCATACCCTCACCCAGCTGTGGACGCCCTCGGGCTTCAGGGGAGACCCCTTCCCATTTTCAAGGCTGGTTCCTTCTCTCCCAGGGCTCATTGCTTCCCCTCCCTCCCTCAGGGCAGCCCCCCATCAGCTTCATCAGGCTGCAGTCCCCCACTCTTCCTGCCCTCTGTCCACTCCCCTGGCAACCTCAACATCGTGACGTCTGGCGAAGCTCCCACAGTTGTGAGGAAGGGCACCAGGTGGGACCTGGGGGGCCCCCAGATAGCTCATCGCCTCCAGAAAAGCTGTTGTTCCTTCTGTTTGCTCCTAAGGCAGGAAGGGCCCGGGCTCGGGGCACCAGTGACCCTAAATGTGCTCGGCATCCCGACACCAGATGTAGCTGCTGAAAGCAAGCACTGTGACTGTGGGCTTAAACGGACGGTGATTAGAATGTCAACCAAGTGAACATCCCTCGGTGCCGCCTTTAGAAGCTCTGGAGAGAACTGCTGAAAAAAGCAAGAACGTAAACCCCCGCTGTCAGAACAGCTGTGTGTCCCTCATGCCCCCATTTCTTACAGGGAAAAACGGACGTGCACCCTGCTCCAACTGACACATGCAAGGTGCTGCCGCCTCCGCCGAGCATGGCAAATGGCTCACAGTACTACCACCATGAGTGCCCAGCCGCCAACATCGGCCCACCCAGAAATGCCAGCCCTTGCTAACTCCTAAGGAAACATGATGGGAAAGGTAGGATTCCAGCAATTCGGTTCTCAGACACCACTTTAATCATGTTTTGTACTACACAGTGATGGGGGCTGGAAGGTGGTGATTGCTTTCAAGTGAGTTCACCAGGCACACATTCTGCCTGGAGTATCAACATCAGCAGCCTGGGATTCCAAGAACAGGTAAAGTGCTTCCCTTTCCGGGAGGTCGCTGGGGGGGCCCCCGCAGGCACGCCAGGGCTTCAGGAAGGATGAGCACAGAACGAGGGCAGCCAGGGAGGCCCGGGATGCTTCCCAGGAGCACAGCCACAGCCAGATCCCAGCCACTGCCCTGGAGTCCAGGCGGCCCCTCCAGGGACACTGCCGGCCTCTGTGCGTGTCACCCCCTCCTCCCATCAGCACACCTCTCTGCTCACAGCCTGAGAGCCTGTGGCCCCTGACAACAGGTGCAGTCTTTGGACCACATCTCCCAAGAATCAGTCTGCCCAGAATGGAGCAGTGTGGGTGCAGACGGGGCCAGAGTAAGCAGCAGAGCAGGTCAGCTGCGGGGCCTGGGCTGACAGGGTGGCGGGCCAGCCCGGCCTCTGGGAGGACGGCAGGGCCCGCGTCCTCCATCACATCAGTTCTTCTCTGGGCGGTTTCTGTTCAGGACAGCTTTCGGGGCAAACTCCAGCTTGTCCTTGAGGCTCACCACCTGCGTGTGGTCCTTGCCGAGCAGCTCATCCAGCTTGCGGTCCTCGCGGCGCTCCGAGATGCTCTTCTCCTCCTCGGCGGACTGCGGCGCCTTTCCCCGGATGAACCATTCCAGGTGGTAGCCTACAGCCCCGACCACGAAGGCCACAGGAAACGTGACGTAGGGGGCATAGGTCCGCACCACCGTCCAAAACACAGGCCACATGACATCTGCAGGGCGCACAAGGCAGCGTTAGGGCGAAGCGCACAGCCTTGCAACTGCAAACAGGGCACTGGGCTCTCCAGGCACAATGCACCGAGCACGCACCCCTGCAGAATGAGCCAAGAGGGTGCCTGGCCCTACCCAAGAGAGCTGGCCCCCCGAAGTCACGCGGGGCACTGTGGAACAGGCACCCCTTCACGTGCTGTGGGCAGTGGTGTCACCCAAGGAGACTTCTGAGCCATACCGTGTGGTGCGTCCAGCCTGTGGCTGACGCCAAGCCCTCCCTCGGCAGCTCGCCGCCACTTCAGGAAGTGACGCTAAGCTGCGCTCTGCTCTGAAATCTCCACGAGCACTGTGACCGTCCTCTCCCACCACACATAACCCCACTGCTCACTCCCTGGCACCCAGGCAGGAAGGGCAAGGGAAGAACAGCTACAACAGTAATCCACACGCAGCTGACGTGGGTTTCGGGAAGTCAGCAACCTTTGTTTTCTATTTTGAACCTGGCTCCTTTAACAATGGGGCAGCCTGTACAGGGTGCGAATGTGCTGGCCCAAACCGACTACCTTCAACCAAATCCATCTCCTTGTATTTACACAAACTCCTGAAACAGCACAGACCACTACATGTACTCTGAAGACCCAGACCTTGAAAATTCTTTGAGAAAACTACTTGGGGTGGGAATGGGGAGGAAATGGTAGGGAGAAGACCCCCCAGGGCCTCCTGAAACAAAGTAGGACAAAACCAACCAAAGTCACGTGTAAACACACACACACTGGGTCACTGTGATGACCGACAGTATTAACAACCATCAAATATCACTCGCCACCATCTTAACCAGGACAGCCACCATCTACTGAGGACTTCTGCCAGGTCTTGGGCTAAACACGTTAGAGCCACCCTACAAGGCCAAGGGCAAAATCAGGCTACCAACCCAAAGATGTGTTTGTGCACCTGCCAGTACTTCCCTCCATCACTTCCTCGCGGAGCACAGAACGCGTCTGCCTCTGGGTCCAATTGTCTTTGGAGGATTCGCATTGGCCACCCCAGTGTGGACCATCCTGAGAGGTGGAGGAGCCTGTGGCTGCCCTGAGTTTCCCCTCCTGGTCCTGGGTCTCTGCCCTGGGCACCATGCTGACAGCTTCCGCACTTGCCATACTCTAAGACACAGAAGTGGCCAGGGGCCACAAAGACTCCAACGTAACGTTAACTCACTCAACATCTCCAGAAGCCACAGGGCCGGGTCTAGGAGCTTCTTTTTTGCCACCTCTGAGACCATTCTGGGGCATTTGTTAAGATGCAGAAACTGCTGAGAGCATAGCTTGAGGAACCCTCTGCAGGCTGGTGTTGTGGTGCAGTTCGTTAAGTCCGTCTCTTGCCCTTCCTGCCTGGGTGCCTGGGACAGAACCCTCCAGAGGAGTGCAGTCTGAGGCCTGCCTGCTCTGTTTTCACTCCAGGTTTCTGCTAACGTGTCCAAGCAGCAACAGATGGCCAAAGTCTTAGGCCCCTGGCACCCACAAAGGGAACCAAGATGGGGCTCCTGACTTCTGCCTCCCGCCTCCCGTTTGGTCTAGACCCAACTGCTGCAACGACCTGGGGAGTGAAACAGTGGATGGAAGAATTCTCTGTATGTATGTCACTCTGCCTGGACGCCGGTTCGAGTCCTGGCTGTTCCACTTCCCTTCCAGCTCCCTGCTTGTGGCCTGGGAAAGCAGTCGAGGATGGCCCAAAGCCTTGCTTGGGACCCTGCACCTGTGTGGGAGACCTGGAAGGAGCTCCTGGCTTCAGATCACTGTGGCCATTTGGGGAGTGCACCAGCAGATGAAAGATCTTTTCTGTCCATCTGATTTTCCAATAAAAACAAACATTAAATAAACATACTTCTCTTGGACCCAGCAGGTAGAGGAGCTGTCCCTGTCTGTAACCGTGCTGGCTCACCTGTCCCCAGCACACCTGTCCGCCTTTCCCCGTGCCATGCTGCACCCCGCAGCCCCAGCCGTGCCCCAAGGGAGTGAGGGAGACCTCCCACCAGTCACCGCACATCCTCCTCCCAGCCGCCCCGGGGCAGGTCAACGGGTGCCCCTCCCCCGGAAGACTCAAAGGCCCCCCAAGAGCTCACAAGGACATAAGAAGCCGCGGAAGTGGCCAGGATGACCCCTTAGGGTCAACAGGGCCCCTGGACCACCCGCCGGTCCCCGGTCCCTACAGCCTCTCCACAGCAGAGCCGGGGTCTGGCCCAGCCCGAGCCGCAGCGGACACTCCCGGTCCCCTTCCCTGACTCGGCCGTCCCCGTCCGCGGACGAGAAGGGACGACCTGCCGGCCCCGCGCTCACCTGCGGCCCGGCCCGCACGCCTCGGTCCGGGGCCCCTAACCTCCGCCCCGCCGGCCGGGAGCTCCCAGCGGCCCTCGGGCCCGGCCCCGCCCACCCGCAGAGGAAGCCCGGCCTCCTCCGGGTTGGCAACAGCGCCCCCGCATGGCGAGGAGGCCTCCAAGTCCCGTTCTCCACGTGTTTTCCTCGTGGGAGAAAGTGAAAGGTCACCCATTTATTTATTCAACCAACGTTTATTAAGCATCTTCTGAGACCTAGGTCTGGGCACACAAAAACCGAGGACTTGATCCGTGACCTCAAGTAGCTCTTCTTTGCAAAGTATAAAATAGTGCTTTAGCAGCTCTGTGGATCCAGACTTTCTGGCTAGGTGACCTTCAGAGCAATTTTAACCTGCGTGAGCCTCTCCAGACTTTTGCAGCGATGTCGTAAGGATTATATGAGATCATGTATTCAAGGGCTGCGCCAGGCACGAAGCAACCAGGGAAAATGCATGCCTGTTACTGCTACTCTGCAAAACATGGAACTACAGTAAAACCTGTCTTCCAGGACCCGCTCCTGTGTGTCTCCACTGTGCACTCCATAGACATTTATAACGGGGAAAAGTCCCTTGTGGGGTGGGGGGGGCTCCCACAGGGCCCTGCCTTGCTACCTTTACTCCATTAATCCCAGTCTGGCATGGGAGGGAACTTGCTCAGGTTAAAGGCAAACAAATCCAAAGAGAAGCCCATTTTGGTGCAAGAATTTTTTAAAATCCACTGCTGTGGTTTGATATTAGAATGCCTACGCATTCCCCAAAAGCTTGGCTGTGGGACCATCCAGGCCTGCTGGAATTTTGGCCACTCTTTTTTTTTTTTAAGATTTATTTATTTTTATTGCAAAGTCAGATATACAGAGAGGAGCAGAGACAAAAATCCTCCATCCATTGACTCACTCCCCAAGCAGTCACAACAGCCGGAACTGCGCCAATCCAAAGCCAGGAGCCAGGAGATCCTCTAGGTCTCCCACGTGGGTGCAGGGTTCAAGGCAATGGGCCGTCCTCAACTGCTTTCCCAGGCCACAAGCAGGGAGCTGGAAGGGAAGTGGGGCCGCCGGGATTAGAACCGGTACCCATATAAGATCCCAGCGCATTCAAGGCGAGGACTGTAGCCACTAGACTATCAAACCAGGACCTTGGCCACACTTTCAAGGGTGGCACAAGCATTGCCCACCCATTTCCTAACTGGTTAAGGGACTACCAATGGGGGGCATCATACCTGTAGGTTCCAGCCCAACAAGGCGGGGTCAAGGAATGCTTAAAATCCCAGGACCCTTCCAAAGACCCCTTTGGCGTCTCTCCCTCTTCTTTCGAGAAGCACCCCGCCTCCCAGATTTCTCTTGAGAGGTACTCTCCCCGCGCCTCTTCTTTTCCCGCATATAAGCCTTTCTGTTTATTTCCTGGCTTTTTATTTCAATATCAAGCTGAAGAAAGTACCTACCGGGTTTTTCTGGCAAAAGTTGGAGAAGGTGAAAACTCAATCCACCTGTGGCCTTTGGAGGTGCGGCCTCTGAGAACTGAGGACATGGCGCTCCTGCGATTGAGTCGCGGCTTCCGGGGGAAGACACACAGTGCCTGCTTCTGCCCTGAGATGCTGGGCCCTGCCTCAGGACTCTGCCAGCAAGACCGTCACGGAAGCTGAACTTACAGGGCTGCCTGGCCTTCTGACCCAGAACCTCCACACCATGACCTCCCCCAACCCATTAAACCTCTTTTCGTCTTTTCTCTCTCAAGATCTGTGTATTTTTATTGGAAAGGCAGATTTACAGAAAAAAGGAGATCTTTTTGGGGGGTTCACTCCCCCAAAAAGATGGCCCACAATGACCAGAGGTGAGCCAATCCAAAGCCAGGAGTCAGGAGTTTCTTCCAGGTCTCCCATGCAGGAGCAAGGTCATCTCCCAGGGCACAAGCAGGGAGCTGGATGAAAACTGGAGCAACTGGGAAACAAACCAGCACCCATATGAGATCGCAGCACTTGGAGGTGGAGGATTAGTCAGTTGAGCCATCACGCTGGCCCCAACCTCCTTCTTTCTTCAGCAGTTTGTTCGAGGTATTTTATTGTAGTCATGAGAAGCAGAGGAATACATCCACGCATAGCTTTTCCAGTTCCATGTTTCTCATGGATGTTCTTTTAAAATCTGTTTATTTGAACAGCAGAGTTACAGGAGGGAGACAGAGAAACCGAAAAAGTGATCTTCCATCCACTGGTTCATGCCAAAATGGCTGCCAGGGCCAGAGCAGGTCAGAAGCCAGGAGTCAGGAGCTACTTCCAGGTCTCCCCCATGGGTGCAGGGGCCCAAGCACTTGGGCTATCGTCCACCGCTTTTCCAGATGCATTTGGTAGAGCAGCCAGGACTGGACCTGGGACGCATGCGCCACAGGTGGCAGCTTTACTTGCTAAGCCACCTGGTTTCCTTCCATGAACTTTTTTTTTACTATATATATATAAAATAAAAATATAAATATATACATTATTTTTTTATCCATGAACTGTCTAAGTGTCCCCATGTTTATTTTTGGATTCTGCACTCAGACCAAAATGTTGCCTGTCTGTGTCTCCCTTCATGTTTGTTCATCCTCCTGGAGTGCCCTTCTCACATGTCACCCGAGCAGCTCCGATTGCCTCCTGAAGGGCCACCTGCCCAGGAAGCCCTCAGCCTGCATGATCAGGTGAAATACCCTTTCTTTATTACAGCAGAGTCCAAAGCTAGGCCCTGGCAGGGAAGATGGAGAGAAAGGAACAAGATAAAGAACCACAAAAGGGCCCAGTGCCGTGGCCTAGTGGCTAAAGTCCTTGCCTTGAACGTGCCGGGATCCCATTTGGGCACCTGTTCTAATCCTGGCAGCTCCACTTCCCATCCCGACAGCTCCACTTCCCATCCAGCTCCCTGCTTGTGGCCTGGGAAAGCAGTGGAGGATGGCCCAAAGTCTTGGGACCTTGCACCTGCATGGGAAACCTGGAAGAGCTCCTGGTTCCCGGCTTTGGATCAGCGCAGTACTGACCGTTGCGGTCACTTGGGGAGTGAATCATCGGATGGAAGATCTTTCTCTGTGTCTCTCCTCCTCTCTGTATATCTGACTTTCCAATTAAAAATAAATCTTAAAAAAAAAAAAAAAAAGAACTACAGAAGCCTCACCTGTACGCTGAGTATGTAGAGTAGAATTGTCTAGGACAAAGGGAGCCAAGCCATAGGTGCTACAGGCTGGGGTTGGACACGACAAAGCCCAACCCTGCGTTCAAGAGCTCTCCAACCGCAGTTGGGGCACAGCATCCAAAATGTGAGGACAGAAGCATGCTCGGAGGAGGAGCCTCAACCCAGCCAAGAAAACCAGGAGAAGCTCCCTAAAGGCACCCACAGGGAACCGAACCCTGAGCAGTCTGGGTTCAAACCTTGGCTCTGCTAATCTGCAAGCTATTTACACTCTTGGTTCTAGAAAAAAAAAAAACAGTAATATGCACATGCCCCAGGTGTGAAATCACGTAAAGGTATGAAGCGTTTGGTCTAAGACTTCACACCTCACGATTACCACGCTATGTCTTCCCGACTTAACCTCCCTTCCAGAATGCCCGATTCTTCTAGAATGCCTGATTCCCATGGATGGCATCACATGCACTGACCTGGAAACCTGGCCATATCTTCCAGGCCCAGCACTTCTAACAGAACTGCCCAGACCCAGCGTGGCGCATCACCCTCCTGGCATTGATAGTGTCTCCTTGCCTTCTCATTGCTCGCTCGGTCCATTTCCATTACTTCGGCCAGCCAAGGGCACTTGCAAGACTTCAAGCCATGCAGTAAGTCTCCAGCGCAGACCTCTCTCTTCCTTGGGTTTGTTCTGGCCCCTTGGCTTCATGTCTCCCATCATGCAACGCAGAGGCCCTCCCACGCCTTGCCCAGGCTGCTCCCCTGGCCTGACATGAATGTTCTCCCTTCTCTTCAACTGCAAAATGCTCATGCATCGTGCAAGGCCCAGGTAGAAAGCTTCCACGGACTCCCAGTGCGGAGACTGGAGTATACTCCTCTTCCCCCGAAACTCACCATGCCACCGAACTGCCATTGCAGCAACACTGAGAGGAGAGACCATGAAGAGGATATGAGGCCACCTGGACACTCCAGGAGGCCTCAGTGCCTCCATAAACGGGGTGAGCCTAGCCACTCCTCAACCTTTCCACCCTCCCAACTTTGCCAGGTGATGAGGCAGCAAAAAGGCCCTCGCCAGATGCTGGAGGGGCACCTTGACATTGGACTCCTCAAGCATGAGCCAGCACATTTCTACTTATGATGAATCGCCCAGTCTGTGGTTTTGTTTTTCAGCCCAAAATGGATTAAGGCACCAGAGGTCTTCTCCTCCTGTCTCCTCATCCCTCTGGGAAGGGAAGTCTCCCTTGGTAGCCCAACTTTCCATGTGCTGTGGCCACAGCGTACTGACAGCACCGAGTGCAAAGACGGAGCTCATTTCTCATTTATCCCTGCGGCTCAGCGATGCTGAAGGAGACGCCCTCTCCCCCTCGAGCTGCAGCCATGGTGCCAGTAGCAGGGCAGCCACAGGGTCACAGGTTTCCAGGTTACCTGGAAGACCTGGCCCCACTTCTAAGCAAAGACATACACCTACAGAGGGAGAGAATCTACACAGAGGACTGTACTCAGACTCAGCCACTTCCAGGATTTGGGATCTGGGGGCAGTTGTTTTTCTCCAAGCGCCCATCTCCTCATCTGTGTGGAGGTTGATTAACAACACCTGCTCCATAGGATAGCGACTACTAGCTTGGATAGCGTCTAGCTCAAGCCTTGTCCTACTTTCAGAGAAACAGCCTCAGAGGTCGAGCCGCCCAGCCAAGGACTCCCTTGGCTGGGTGTATGGGAAATAGACAAATGAGTATTTTTTTAGTGAGAACCAATGGACAGCCATCCAAGCTAAGCGTTCCCAAACCTGGCGGCTCATCAGAGCCACCTAGAATACTGGTCAAAGACGCACTCAAGGGCACAGGCGGTTCACGCCGTCTCGGACCAGCTCCAAGGTGGTTGGTTTTAGAAATTCGGGG